CTCTCTCTCTCTGCCTCCCTCTCTCTCTGCCTCCCTGTCTCTCTCTGCCTTTCCCTCTCCCCTCCTGCCCCCCACACCCAAATATACAAGTTCTTCCAAAAGGAGTATCTATACACCATCAAATCCATTCTGAGACAAGGATGGGGTCTTCATGAGAGTTTGCTGACTTGAGGAACATCTCACAAATATAATCTGTTAAGAGGTTCTCTGAGACGGAGCTCTGGAATGCTGGGGCAGAGTCTACAGGCCTCCCAGGTGGGCTCACGTCTGGGAGATTCAAGGATCAGGTTCAAGTGTGATCCCCAAGGCCCCTGGACTCTGTGCACACTTGAGCAGTGCAGATGCTGGTGCCCTATGCACACACTGTCCCCACCACGGCACCCAGAGCACACACTGTCCCCACCACGGCACCCAGAGCACACGCTGTCCCCACCACGGCACCCAGAGCACACGCTGTCCCCACCACGGCACCCAGAGCACACGCTGTCCCCACCACGGCACCCACAGCAAACATCTCACATCCCAGTGATGGCTCTTACCAGTGATGTCATATCGACTCTTGGGGTCGCTGCTCTTGGGCACAGTGACCTCAGCCACCTCCTGCCCCGTCACGGGCCCGTATTGCAGCTTGTAGTAGTCCACCTCGGTCGAGGGGTTTTCCCACTCCACGTCGAGGGAGTTCTCCGTCTCATCTGTCACCCAGGCAGTGCCAAGCACAGCAAGGTCTAGGGCAGGGGTGAGAGGGGGACAGGAAGCAGTGAAGAGCAGAGTTTCTGAGGTTCTGGGACAGGCTGTGGGTTATCAAGTCAGCTCCCTTTCTTGATGTCTCAAGAGCTGGCTTCAGCCTCAGGTCACAGTTCCCAGCAGGTGTCTGTGAGCTACTGAAGTAATAAGCTGCCAGTTTTCACATAGTCCATGCGCAGACTGTCTTTCAGGAAAGCCTCCGCCTCCCCATCCCATCAGAGGCCATGCGGCCTCCCTGTCCACACTGACTTTGGTCAAGCCCAGACTGTACCTCTCAGGCCAGCCACCCAAACCACTCGGGCCGGAGCTCAGACAGCTGCAGCCTGTACTGGGAGGCTTTGAACACTGTTATCTGTACCAGAGGCAGTCACAGATTACTGAGACACCCCCATGGTCTCACATGGTGTGCAGTCACCCACGCTAGAACAATCAAGACACCCAAGTTGTTCAACTACAGGGGTGCTCCTGGGGGTCATTAGCCTGAGGGCAGACGAAGGCAATCACAAATGGGGCACTCATGATGGCCAAGTCTCTCGCAGCCCTTTCCAGCACGGACCCATCCCTACCTCCACCCTATTCCCACCACCAAAAAGGACAGGCAGCTTGATGTCTCTGCAAAGACAACTGCATGCCAAAGTCGAATCCATCTGGATCTTCCTAGATCTTTCCCTAGAAAGGGCAGGATGGAGGCAGTGAATTTTTATCGCACCTAGAACAGCCTTTGACAGAGGGTAGGTGCTCAATAAAAATGTACTGCATGAAGGAATGATTCAACCAACTACGCTTTTCCAAATCTTTGAAGATCTAACTGGCTTTAAGAATTTTCATGAGAAAACAAGAATGTTTAAAGAGTAAGCAGCGATGCTTATCCTTCTAAATATTTTGGTGCACAGGAGACTCTGTTTCTCCAGATCAAGCCTCCACCATCCTCCATCTTGTTCTGCATCCCGGACTGTGATCTCTGTGAATTGAGCCAGCCAGTTTCCCTGACCCTCTGGCTTCTAGGTTCAGCTAGCAGGAATCACCAGCAGATCAGAAGGCAGGACAGAGAATTCTGTGGAGACACGGTGGACTGCCTGCCTCCCTTTACCAAAACACCCCCACCAGACAGCTCTTTTCTACAGCTCTCTCTGGGTCCAAGTACCAAAGTCCATGTTTTGCCCCTCCAGGCAGGAGTGTATCCTCACTGATGCGGGTCTTAGGGTTTCACCATCCAACCCCTACCCACACCTTTCTGAACAGCCTGTTAAACTTTTTCAATTACCCCATTTGTGTCCTCTTTTTCCCACTGAGATGAATCTGACACAGGTGGCTTCCATAGCCTCTTACCCATTACTTATTTGAACTTTCTTAATGGCCTTGGGGGTTCAGTGAGGGACTGGGGTTGCAGGTTTACCCTTTGACTGCTTATGAGAGGGTGCAGACCCTACTAATCTCAGGGATGGGGGGACCCATGAGCCCCCATGTAGCAGGCCTTCACTGGCTTAAAGGACCCAGTAATCAGAGGGCAAAGGAAGAAGAGAGAGAACTGGAACTCTTCAGAACCTAGGACTGTGGCAGCTGTGTTTTTCAGACCCCAAATCAAAGCAACTGCCTGACAGATATTTATGGGAATAGTGAAATAAAACATTTGGAATGGGGCCTCTCCTGGGAACTCTGGGGCATCGGGTGGCTTCCTCACCTGTGGTGGCAAGTAGATGCTGTGGGCTGCTAGAAACTTCTTTCTTGACGTTACGCAGGGTGACTATGTACTTGGTTCCAGGCCGCAAATTGAGAATCTCGTAGCTGTGCTGCTCCTTGGGCACTTGGATCTGCTTCCCAGAGATCTCCTTCCCCAGGGGGTAGTAGCTGAGGAGGTAGTGGTCCACCTGGCTGGAGGGCTCCCAGCTCACCAACAGGGAATCCTCCGTGCTCTTGATCAGTTGCAGGCCCTGAGGGACGACCACTGCAGCCAGAACAGGAACAGGGCAGAGGGTGAGAGAGGGAGGCGATCCAGAGCCTTTGAGTATTCCCTGAGCACTATAAAGGTGGGTGTGCGGGACGCAGACCTGTGTAAGGCATCATTCCAGACGCCCAGAAGTTATCCCACAGACCCCTCACCACACACGTGCACACACAGCCAACCACCCGATCACCAGACCTCTGGTTTTCAAAGTCAGGCCCTCAAACCAGCATCTGCATCACCTGGGAACTTGTTAGAAATGCAAATGTTTAGGCCCCATCGCAGAATCAGAAGCTCTGGGGCTAGGGCTCAGCAATCTGGTGCAGGCTAAAGGAAGAGACCCCCAAAGAGGACAACGTGTCATTGACAGTTAAATGGTGCATTGGAAAGAAGAGTCCGGCGGCCCAAGGGCACACCCCCGCTCTCACCCTGGGCACAGTCCAGGCCCGAGAAGCCCTCCTCGCAGTAGCACTCGCCCGTGTCGCAGAAGCCGTGGCCGCTGCAGTCGCCGGGACAGCGCCGCTCGCTGCAGTCCTCCGACATGAAGTCCTCGTGGCACTGGCACAAGCCGCGCACGCACTGGCCGTGCCCGCTGCAGTTCTCAGGGCAGGCAGGATAGCCGCAGTCGGCGCCCACGTAGGGCTCGTGGCACACGCAGCGCCCGTCCACGCAGCGCCCGTGGCCGCTGCATGCCCCGGGGCAGGCCTGCTGCTCGCAGGCGGCGCCCTCCCAGCCCTCCTGGCAGTGGCAGCTGCAGCTCTCCAAGGAGAAGGTCCCGTGGCCGCTGCAGTGTCGCCTCAGATCTGGGAGGGAGAGAAAAAACAGTAGGCTGGGTTGAGGGGCTGTGTGTGGAGATCTCCAGAAATCGGCAGACCCTTAAGAGTGGGGCTGGTGATTTCTGGGTCTTGCACAGCTCTGTTTTGGAGGACCGCGGAGCTCTGCAAGGGAGAAAAGGTGTGTTGGCCCTTTCCAGGCCAGGCTCTCTAATCTGTGACATCTGCAAACATCTCCTTTCTCTGCCTGAAAAGGCTGCAGGGCCCACCCTTCTTCCCTTTCCCTTTCCATGTGAATTCCGCGGCTTCCTTCCCTTCTACACAGTGTTCATTATTTAGTGCCTTCCTATGGGGGGGCCTTAAGTGGTACCCTGGCCGGCTGACGCCGCAGAGCAGGACTCCTGGGGGAAAAGTGAGGTCCAGGCAGGTTGGAGTTGGCTGGAACTAGCAAGGCTGGGATCTTGTGAAATGAACCCAGACTGAAGCCTGGAAAAATGAAACTGCAGAAGCTACAAAATAGCCTAGTCTCAACTGTGGGTACTACGGAGAAGGGATTTAACCAGGCTCCCCTCTCTGACCCTACTCGGCAAGAGGCAGCTGGAGGGCAGACAGGTCAGTGCCGTCTCCACTCTGGCCCAGCTTCTGCTTCTCAGAACACCTTCTTCACTTCCTAAAAACACTTCCAAAGTGGGGGTTCCTCAGAGGCAAGTCCATGCTGCTTATCCATAGCAGCGTCCCTGGTGCCAAGTTCTGGATCTGGATCTGATGGTTAAGGTGCTCTTAACCATAGCAATTCCTTCAGGCGTGAAATCCCATGCCAAATACCATTTATTATCATTGCGTCAGCCTGGCCAGCATATGTTTAAAAGCGACAAGGGTTGGGTGGCGAGAGAACCTTCATTATTTATAAAATTAAATTGTAATTATTTTACAATTTACAATTACAATTGTAATTATTTAAAATAATGATAATTTGCTGACTTATAAATTCCACTAAGGGCCAGGAATCTTCTACACATTATCTCCAGTTCTCAGAACTATACTAGTTGATAGAATTATCCTTATTGGACAGTTGAAGAAACATAAGAGATTTGCCCAAAGTCACACAGCTAAAAGTGGTAGAACTGGGATTTGCAACCTCTCCTGTCTAGCTCCAAGGCCCTGTCTTTGCTGTGTAACCCATTGCTTCCTCTCTGAGTAGAGCTTAGATTCACAGGTTTGACAGCCCCTGGAAGCATTCCCATCTGGAAGCAATTGCCCAGGAGTCTAGACTCTCTGCAAAAGCAGCTGGTCCCTCCCTGCTCAGCTTCCAGATGCCCCTGAAGCTAGCACCAATGAATAAATGAATAAATAGCAGGGATGGGCCCGCTAGAGAAAACTCAGAGTGAAAAGTAGGAGCACACCAGACTCACAAAGTGCTCATGAGGCTAATGGAACCCCTGGCACATAACAGGTGCTCATCAAATGTTTGTCGAATGAATACCAAGTGGTGATCTCACCAGTAGCTCCCTGGCAGCAGCGCTGGGCACTACACTGTTTCTTCATCTCCATCATCTCTTCCTCCAGCTTCTTCACACGGGCCAGGAGGTCCTGGACACTGGTTGACAAGTCACAGTCCTTCTGTGGCGTCTGAAGGCGGATGTTGTGCCTGAAGATGATCTGTTCCTCCCTGGCCTCCCCCAGGGCCAAGAGTGAAGTCCCATTGTCACTGAGGGGCTGAGGGTCAGCCTCCACCTGAACCAGGGAAGACTTAGGCACATCAATCTTGTAGGTGTGGCTGACGGTGACCTGTTGCTCCTTGTTGCTGCAGCCGGGAAGCTCCGGAGTGGCCGGGGCGGAAGCCACCAAGAGCACAGAGCCAAGCAGAAGCCCCAAGGGGAAGCAGAACATCGCCTGGAGACTCATCCTTAGAAAGACGGGGAGCAGACCCTCCAGGGTGCCTGTATTCAGAAACATTGTAGAAGAAAGCCATGGAGATATAGTGAGGGAAGTTAGCCTTTTTTCCAGATTCTAAGAGCCCACAGGAATCCGAGAAACGAACAGAAAGAACTCATTCTATTTCTCCCAAGGATCCAACCAGATTACTTTCTGTTCCTGCCTCACAGATGGCATAGTCCTGCCTCCTGTCTTTGCTTGCTGTTCACACTGCCCAAGATGCCCTTCTCTTCACCTCTCATTCTAGGCTCACCTGCACTTATTAATAATAAGAAGAGCAGCTGTCTTGTGTTGACAGACTATTGTGTGCCATGCTTTGATCCCCGTAATCCTGGACCTTTACAGCAACGCTAATATCCTCCCTCTTAACAATATCAACAATAAGAGCTGCACATGGAGCACTTGCTATGTGACAGACACTATTCTAAATGTACTAAGTGTTTCACACTTACTAACTCATTCCATTCTCACAATTCTTTGTGGAATATACTATGATTACCCCAATTTATAGATAGGGAATCTGAGGCACTACTACTTTAAATGACTCGCCAACTGGCACCCAGCTCAGAGTGGCAGGATTTGAACCCAGGCAATCTGACCCCAGAGTCCATGCTCATCCCCACAGCACCACGCTGCTTTGCACAGATGACGAAACTGAGCAAGTTGTCCTGAGTCCCACAGCCAAGAAGGGAAGAACCTGTACTCAGACCCAAATCCACTGACTGCAGGGCCAGCATCCTGCTCACGACACCCACTTGTGAACCAGTAAAATATAAGAATTTCTAATAAAATCACCTGTTCCACCAAGTCCTCTCTGCTGCCCCCTGCCTCACCCAGCTGGAGACTAGCCTCGCTTCTGCTAAGCATTCAGAGAAATGGACCCGTCCCTCTCTGCTGGTCTCTTGAGCATTGACCTTGTGTTACAGTTACTCTTATATATGGCTTGTCTCCCCACTAGGCTGTGAGCCTCTTAAGGACAGCACCCTGGGTTGATTTACCTTGGCGCCCTCCTGTGGCAGGGGCACAGTCACGCATGCTGAGAGGTCTGGTCACTGTTTCTCAGTCAAGCCAGGCAACACAAGGTGGGGCAGGCGGTTAGGTTTTGCCTCCTCCCTCACCAGGAGGTAGTGTCTTCACCACTGTCAATGAGCAGAATGACTCCTCTCTCCAGCCATTTCCCCTGTGCCCGCAACCCCCATCTGGGATGGCCCAGTCTTTGCACACTAACAAGCTGAGGCAGGACGGACCACAAGAGACCTAGCTTTCAGCTCACATTTTGCTCACAAGAACCTCAGTCACAAGATGCATCCCAGTTGGGCTTACATCGCAGCAGTTATCTTGAAACTGATCTGCAGAGCTGTCTCTTGACAATGGGTTTCTGTAAGCAACCCAAGACCTGCAACGATTTATGCCAAAGTTTGAAGTCAGGAAACAGTCCTTTCCTGTGGTCTGTGTTTTCCTTGAGCCCAGGCTTTCCCTGCCCATGGTGAGAGGCAGTTGGGATATGATGGAAAGGCACCTCGGACAGGCCCTAGGACATGCAGGCCTAAGAGTGCGTCTCCTCCTGAGCCTCTCCACCTCCTCATCTGTAATGTGGGAATGACAGTGTGTCGCCCCTCTTGGATGTAGACAGCAGTGAGCATCATGTCTGGCACGTGATCAGGGCTCAGTCAACATATTGAGGTTTATTTTGTTTTCAGTCAACTACTGAATACGACTTCCTTTTCTTTCTCATCTTTTTTATTATAAAGAACAATGCCGGCCAAGCATGGTGGCTCATGCCTGTAATCTCAACACTTTGGGAGGCTGAGGTGGGTGGATCACTTGAAGCCAGGAGTTCAAGACCAGCCTGGCCAACATGGCAAAACCTCATCTCTACTAAAAACATAAAAATTAGCCACACACAGTGGCGCATGACTGGTATCCCAGCTACTTGGGAGGCTGAGGCAGGAGAATCACTTGAACCTGAGAGGTGGAGGCTGCAGTGAGCTGAGACTGCACCACTGCACTCCAGCCTGGGCAACAGAGAGAGAGAGACTCCATCTCAGATAATAATAATGCCTAGGTTGAAAGGCATCTTTCACCTATATTGATCAGAAAAGGAATAAATATTTCTAGCCAGTAAGCTAAATTCTAGTAATATGTAAAATGTTTAACTTTTAGTAGTCATCATTTATTTAGTGTCAGGAAGTAGAAGAAACAGGAGATGAGGAACCCTGGCAGAATAAAAGAAGAAGATTCACAATAGTATTATATGTTAAATGTTATTTATTGAGTTGCTGCTATGTACTAGGCATTGGCTGGTGCATTAGTCCTCGTAATTAATCCTCAGAGCTGTCAGGTAAGGTCAGTGTTCCTCTCCTCACTCAAAAGGTGAGGAAACCAGACCTGAGAGGTAAAGTCATTTGCTAGGGGTTGCCCAGCTAAGAAGTGGCAGAGCCAGGATTCAAACACAGACCCGTCTGATTGCAAGCCTATGCTTGCTCTGCACCAATATGGCATTCTGATACAAAGGACAAATGAGTGCAGTTAGATACATGTCCCTATGCAATGGTTTCATCCATTATACATGTACTCAAAGGATGTGCCACCACTGTGAACAAAACAGAATGGTACCGATGAAGAGTTTTCCTTCATGTTACTCCTTTGCCCTCCCACTCTTCGTGGCTCTTCCGATCACCAAAAACACGTATTGTTGATAGTAAGAGCTCACTTCTTCTGAGCACTAACTGCGTTTCAGGCACTGGTCTCAACACCTGGCAGACAGAATGGACTTGTCAGTGGACACTTCTTGTTGTCTTGGGAACTGAACCATGGGTAATAAGTGCCTGCACGTTTCTTTTTCTCTCTTTCTTTTTTTGGAGACAGGGCCCCGTTCTGCTGCCAGGCTGGAGTGCATTGGCGCAATCATGGCTCACTGCAGCCTCCACCTCCAGGGCTCCAGTGCTCCTCCCACCTCAGCCTCCTGAGTAGTCGGGACTACAGGTGCATGCCACCGTGCCTGGCTAATTGTTGTATTTTTTTTGTAGAGATGGAGTTTCACCATGTTGCCCAATCTAGTCTCGACCTCCTGGGCTCAAGTAATTTGCCCACCTCAGCTCCCTAAAGTGCTAGGATTGCAGGAATAAGCACATTTCAAAGAGAGTGTGCTGCTGAAGGTTTAGGGGGGCTGGGGGTGGGGTCAGGGTGAATGGAGGGTGAGTGGCAAGCAAAGAGACCAGTGCCTGATTCTAACCTGGAAGAATTCAAAGGCGGTAGCTTGGCTGGAACAGGCTGCATGGCAGAGAGAGGAAGGAGGCCACAGTGGGAGAGGCCAAGTTGATGACACAGAAACGAGGCACGTTGGAGCTGCCAAGAGGGCAGTTGAGGCCCCGAGCTGAATTGTAGATCCACGGCTCAGCAGGAGTATGCCGCCCCAGGGGACCACTACGGAGGACAGACCCAGTGGGTGGGAAGGAGAATATCTAAAGATCCCAAGGAAGCTCCCCACAAAGGAGGGGTGGCCCACACTGGGAACATCCACTGTAACAAGAGCATCCAATACCAGAGGGAACCACCACAGCCCCAGTTAAAAAAAAAATAAAAGTGCCCTTTCCCTTCCTTTCTAAACCCCACCTTGCCCCAGGGAGCAGCAACCTGGTGAAGCCAAAAGCACCCTGCATGTTGGGGAGAGAGAGCCATGCATACTGGGGAGAGAAGTGGAGGGAGGAAAGCACCAGACCTCTGCCCTCCGTCTTCTCTGCAGGTTCCAGCATCAGGCCTGAGCTGAGCAAGAAGAAAAGATGTGGCCTGGATGAGAGACTGAGGCTCGAAACTGAAATGGACTTCCATTCACAAAAGCAATTCTAAGACCAAAGTCCACCAGAAAAACTCTGGAATCTGCTTGAGATTTTTGTCAGAGGACTGGGGGAGTGGGAGAGCCAGGAATACGACTTGGAAGGCAGGTGTAGGATTAATGATATTTCTGCCAGGCACAGTAGCTCACGCCTGTAATCCCAGTATTTTGGGAGGCCAAGGCAGGTGGATCACAAAGTCAAGAGTTCAAGACCATCCTGGACAACATGGTGAAACCCGATCTCTACTAAAAATACAAAAATTAACAGGGCGTGGTGGCGCATGCCTGTAATCCCAGCTACTCAGGATGCTGAGGCAGGAGGATCACTTAAACTCAGGAGGTGGAGGTTACAGCAAGTCAAGATCATGCCACTGCACTCCAGCCTGGATGACAGAGCGAGACTCTGTCTCAAAAAAAGTGAATAAAATAAATAAATAATAATAAAAATGATATTTCACACAATGGCCACCCTTAGACATTCAGCCCAAAGATAAAAGTCACACACTCTTCTCCACTTGATCCCCAGGATAGGAACGGAGGCTCAGTGGCATTCAATGGCATTGAACACCGTGCCCTGATTATGCAATTGATGAGCCCACAGCCACAGATGCAACCCCAGGTGCACAGTGTCCAGCCATTAACCCTAGTGCACTTCTGCGATTCCCAGTAACAACACATATTGATCTCTGAAGCACCTACTGTGGTCATGACAGCATATGAATTTTCACTGTCCTAAATCTTCTTCCTGAGCAAAAATAGAGCTGAAAAAGCAGACTTCTCTGCCCATGCCTTCCATCCCAGCCCCCACTCCTAGCCTGAGACATAAATGGAGTGCAGATGGTTTTCTGAAGAAGTTCTCAACGAACAAAAAAAAAAAAAAAAAAAGCCATGGACTCTTGCCATAAACCACAGCTAGGCTGCCCAGAGCCCAGGTCTACAGTGTTTGTTTTTGTACCCTGGAATATGAGAAACCCCAGAAACCCCTGTTGGAGCCCTTGGTGTTGCCTGTCCTTCTGATTTGTAACAAGATGTCCTCACTAATTACTGTGTCTCAGATTCCACAAGTTGCGCTCAGATTTTCCTGGGTAGGATGATTGCTCGAAAGAAGATGAGAGCAAGGGAAATCCTCAACCTAACACTCTGTCAAGTGTAATGAGCAAGAAGAGAAGCCTGCTGGCTCTCCCTCCAACACGTGGCAGGGGAGAGACTCCATGTTTAACAGCAGAAGAGAAGGATGACTTCATCGACTCTTTCAGTATGCACAGCAAACCACAGGCTGAGCTCCGCGAGGGTGGGGAGCGGGCAGGGAGGGCAGCAGATTTTCCCAAGCAAAACGCAGGATGATGCATTTCCAAATAAGGAGGATTATTCTACTGAGGGGTATTTTCCCATGGAAAGTGGGATAAATTCTGCACAGATGCATGAAGTGAGGGGCATTTACACGCAGGAAATATGTATGCAGGAACCACAGGAAATCAGTTGTTCCCGAGAATCATTGTCTTACAGAGGCTAATCAGGTCTTTAATTCTGACTGCAGGAGGGGTGTTGGATGGTGTGGGAGGGTGGGAGGCAGAGATACAGTGAGACTCAGGAACAATGCTGCCTTGTATTGCTTTTACCAGAAAGGCTCTTTGAGGGGCACATGACTGATCATGGGCTGCATGGATGGTCCCCCTTACTTCTGCCTTCAGATGTTGCAAGGGCTCTAAGCTTCTGCTGTGTTCTCTCTCGGTATCTACATCTACCCCTGTGGCTTTCATTTCTAGCCAAATATTGACAGCCACCAAATCTGTATGCATGTTCCTCCCCCAGGCATCCCTTTGAGCTCAGAGATGACAGTGGCCGTGTCTGTGTTGATTCCCTCTGTATCCCCAGCCTCATAGCACAATCCTGCCAAGGTAATATTTTGTGAAGTAAATAGTAATAGCCACTGGATGTGTGTGTGTGTGTGTGTGTGTGTGTGTGTGTGTGTGTGTCTGTGCTTATTAGATAATGGACATTGTGACAAACGCCATAAAAATTATCCTCATTTAATCCTCAAAATCCTAGGAGTCAGTTGATATCATTCTTTGTGACAGGTGCTCAGAGAATTTAAGTAATTTGCCAAAGGACACACAGCTAGTAAGCAGTAGATCTGGAATCACACACCAGGTCTGTCCACTGCCCGTGTGTGTGTTCTTTCTCTCTCTGTTATATGTCCTGTTTTTTATTTTATACAAAATAAAATAAAAAAAACAAAACAAAAAACACCAAATGTCCTCCTTTCTGCCACATGTTTTTCAGAGAGGGTTTTTCCTAAAAATAAAAGGAATCCAAGGCATATTGGGTTTTCAGTTAAAAATTAATATATCAATAACTAAATCCTGTGCCTGTACTTCCTCTGAGTGGTGCCAAGGGTGATCCCTTGGGGACATGACTTGTGTTCCCCCACAGGGAGGTTAAGTCCCAGTCGCTTCTCACTAGAAGCTGGAGAATTCCCTTCCTAGGAAACACCAAAGTGTACAGAGACTTCTGTCTGCAGGGGCAGATGGTGACCAAGCCTTGGCCAAGGAAGGAGGATGGTCCCTGAATCCTGATGGTCCTCTTGGACCCCAGGGGTGGATGGTCTCTGTGTCACCTCATTTTCCCCAAAGAAGGATACACACCCTGGGTAATGGGAAAAAAATGCTACTTATACCAAAGAAGAGAGGTAGCCAATTTCTAGCCACTGTTACAGACCTTTATACTTAAATTCAGGGCTTTCTCTGGTTCCCTTATTATCTCATCCTGCCTCACCAGTTAACCACAAGGAAATGAAAGCACTGCTTTGGGTTTTAGAAAAAGTGTATCATCATGGATTTCCAGCAGAGTCACTGACGAAGATTTTCTATCCACAAATGACAGGGTAGATATCATTAAACTTTGAAGGAAAATGAGGGAGATGAGTAGCTAGGGATGCCTCAATGTCACAAGTGTCACTGGCAAACTTGTCACTCCTTCCTTAACTCTCTTGGGCATATTTTGCTAATGATCTACAGCTTGGGCCCTGGGTGACTCAGGGGTCTTCCCTGTACTCCCCAGCTAATTTGCTCCAGGACAGCAAGTTCTCAGCTGGCTGAGGAATCTACCCTGGCCCAACCCACCTTGAACTGGAGGCTCAGGAGACCGATTTCATCTCTGTATCTCTTTCTCCTTCAGAGAAGGAGTGCATGCAAGAGCATGGATGTACAAGGGAGGTCTGTCTCTCCTAGGTTAAACTCCAGTGCAAGCAAGTACATACAAAGTTTTTATTTCTAGTCTTTGTGACATTGAACTCTGTGCAAGCATTGCATACAGGATACAAGACAGCTAGGTGTGGACGAGAATGAAAGTTTGGCTTTATGTGATAGGGCTTAGTATGGTCACATTCTGGGCATCACTCTGTCCTCCCCATTCTCCCAGTTCTGTGGGACACCCAGGGAGTGCCCAGGAAGTCCTTGAAGGTGACTCCCACACCACCGTCCTGGAATCCTTTTCCTGGAGAGCTGCCCCATCAAGTCTGACCACCCACCTGAGACTAGAAAAGATCAAGAATGGGTCTCTGACCAGCCTCAGCTCTCAGTCACTTTTTCAGGGGTAGCCACAGGCTCGTTTTGTTTTGACAACTGCCTCTTAATCTGCCTTGCAAACACTCAAATGGGTGATCATCATGGTAGCTACCATTTTCTACGCATCTGTGCAAAGCACTTTAACATCTCCTCTTGAACATCAGGCGAAGATGTTCATTTACCCCCGGAGGATGAATTACTTTCTCATAGAAAGAACTTCCTTTAGCTTTTGTGGGACCAAGCTCATGCACAATAACAAGATAAAAAAGACACAGGACCTAAATTCAGGAGGCTTCCTCTCCCATATTCAGCCAAACAGCCAGTCCCCAGAATGGCTAAGTATTACTTTGTATACGATTAGCCCTAATCCCCATGGGTGTGAGGAGCATCAGATTAAAACAAAACAAAACAAACAAAAAACTCTGCAATTTCTTTCTTTAGTTAACACATAGTTTTTTATGTATTGAAGTAACTTTAAAGTTCTAGCCTTCTAGCAAGGAGGAGAGCATTTGCTAACTTCCAAGCATTTGCGCTGTTCTACCCACATTCGCTGGGTACAGATTCAAATGGTGACTGGGCAGCATCCGCAGTGAGTCCATCGTGGTGAAAGCAGCAAAGCCCCTGTCCATCTAGGGATCAGGCCTGAGATCTCAGCATCCTCAGCTCACAGACTGGTGACTCCAGATGCTGCTACAGGACCTAAACCATGATCTCATGTCTGTATTCAGATCCTACAGGAGCCAAGCCTCTGGAATGAGCAGTGAATGAACAAATTTTTCCACTGGGCTTGGGCACAATTTCCTCAGGCATCTTCTCAGAAACAGAGCTTGGCCTAGCCTACATTTCAAACCACAGGGCAGCACTGGACTGGAAAACTAGAAGCCACAGGATGGTTTGAAATCACTTGTTCTATTTTCCCTCCATCGGGAGTGAGCTGCAGCCCACAAACGTGGGGACATCGCAGGACTTAGAATATGAAAGAACGCCAGGTGCCTTCTTCCCCTCTCTCCAGGAAAATTGTTATCACTGTTGATACTGTATTTCTTCCTGTGTCCGACACTCACCTTGATTCTGAGTCTCCAACAAATGTCGGAATGTCAAGAGGCACTGATTCTTTCCATGCCAGCTACCAATATATAGCCCTGACCAGGCAAAGTATCACCTGATGCCTTGGTGAGTCCTCAGCTTTTCCAGGAACCACTGGATTTTAGGCACTGTGGCTAACCTGTGTCCAGATGTGGGTAGTTTATTACTCTCATGTTGGAGCTTGTTCTTCTTTTTTTTCTTTAATGCTTATATAAGCAACTCAGGTTTCATTCTTTTAAGTGAAACCCTGAAGCCCTGCCTGTTCTCATTCATTCTTTCTCTGTCCTTCCCCCAGATCTCTCCCAAGCACAAAAATTAATAAATAAGTAAAAAGTAAGACCTCCGGCCAGGCGCGGTGGCTCAAGCCTGTAATCCCAGCACTTTGGGAGGCTGAGGCAGGCAGATCACGAGGTCAAGAGATTGAGACCATCCTGGCCAACATGGTAAAACCCTGTCTCTACTAAAAATTTAAAAAATAAATAAAAAACATTAGCTGGGTGTGGGGGCATGCACCTGTAGTCCCAGCTACCCGGGAGGCTTGAATCTGGGAGGTGGGGGTTGCAGTGAGCCAAGATTGTGCCACTGCACTCCAGCCTGGCAACAGAGCATGACTCTGTCTAAAAAAAAAAAAAAAAACCCACAAGACCTCCAAAAACTAGTTTAACCACATCATTTTTTGAAATGCCTTGAAATGTTTTCTTTGAGGTATGGGGATTTGGAAAGAAGTTGTCATCTTAACAAATAATAATTAAAACCTTTAAAATTAAACGTCTGGATGTACTTCAAAGCTGTTCAAATACATTTGCAAACATCCCCTTAACTGATTCACACAAAATCCAGGAAAAGGGAAGTTATCACAGCTTCCTAACCATAACTAAATTAATCATAATTAAACAAATTATGTTTTAGGATTTAAATGAATAATGTTTAAAGTTCTGTTTTAGGATTTAAAAGAATAATGAAATATAACAGATACCAAACTATCCAATTAAAAGAGAGAGAGCTTTGATGTTGTAAAGAAGTTAAAAAAGAAAAACAGATGAGAAGAAACATCTTAAAGGAAACATTTTATACAAAATGTGTTACTCCGGGTAGAAACTGATACAACACGGACCACATCTGGCGGGGTAAGAAGATAACTACGCTTAGCCCTGTCTGGGATTGGGGTATAATACTAAGGACGGAGTACACAGGTCCTGGGGAGGTACTTCTCAATTCATTTTAACTCTTCATGGAGGTGATAGGAGACTACACTGCCCCGATTTTCGGGGTCGAGATCTGAGGCACCTGAGCCTCCAATTTTGATCTCGTCCACACTGGCCACGATCCTCCCTCCAGTAAGTAAAGCTTGGGCAGCTAGCACTCTTACCTGGAAGGCTGCAGGGTGCCTGTTCCAATGCTGCCGCTCCTGTCAGCTGGTCTCCTCCCACTGTAGATCGTCCCTGGTTCTCGACTCTCCTTGGCTTCCCTCCCTGGGTTTAAATCCTGTCTAGGCCAGAGGAGGAGCCAACAGAGACTCCTGCGTGTTTTCCTCCCTACCCAGCAGGGACTCCGTTAAAAGGTAATGAGCAATTCCTTCTCTTATTCTAACTTGGAAAGAAAAATATATATATTTCCTTCTTCTTTTTCACTTTGATTACACAGCAGCTAAAAATACTGGAGGCTATTTCCATTCAAGTGGATCCAGAATAAGGATATTAAAAGAGTTTGCCTGTCTCCTGGCCAGGAGCTGGGTCTCGGGGTTCAAAAGTGCATTTACAAACTTTCTTTCTCTTTTTCCTGTTTCAGGCTTTTAAAATGGGAAAAAGCCTTTAGCACAGAAAGAAATGAGCAGAGACCCTCAGAGACAGAAGCACTTCTGACTTCCCTCCTTCCTCCATCATCTCACGTTTGTGAGTAGCAGGAATAGCAGACTGGGGACATTCAGTCCCACAAGCCCACTCCGACCCTCACCCCATCCCAAATGCCTCCCACACACCAGCAGTACAAGAGCTCCAAAACCAGGGAAGAATAGTCACTCCCCTTTCTAGCTGCCCTTGCTCTTTTGTCTTCAGATGGACGGGCCTTCATCCTTCCTATGAACCAGAGCCATTTCAATAAGGCATGGGCTGACACCTGCCGCCCTTCCTTACACCCCCGTCCCTCTCCTGCTCTGCTGGAAGTAGATTCTGGAGTGCAGATCCACAACAAAATGAAGGACCCCATATGTTTCCAGTTCACGTGTGTCAGCATCAAATGCTGCTGGAGGGAAAGGAGAAGGAGAGAGAGGGGACCAAAGAGTGGCCCCAAGAAATTGGAGGTGGGGGGCAGAGGCAGGTTGCCCATATCTGAGGCTTGTGTCTGTTATTTGCAACTTTGACAACTTCTTTGTGGTTGAGCTTGCTTTACTATAAAATAGGAATAGTGTCTTATGGCTATTGTGAGGTTCAAATGAGTAGATGGGGTAAAGAACTTAGAGTAGTCCCAAGGACACCGTGAGGACTTAGTTAAGATTACCTGCTACTATCATTTTTTAATTCTCCTTATGTATCCCACTAAATCATATTTGATCCTCTTCCCCTCAATCCAGTTGGGTTTATAGTTCTCTGCCCTTCACTTACAACCACAAATTGTTCTGCTCTCTGCCCCTGGAATCTGGGCCAGCTATATACAGAGGTGACCATTGGAGTATAAACCAGGGTCACCAGAAAAATCCCCAACTCCCAAACATCTCTTTTCTCCCTTGGACTTTTTTCTCTGCTTCTTAAGAGGGAAAATCTCTCCTAGAGGATCCTAAGACTCTGTTGCACCTTCAAGTTGCTCTCCTTAATTTCATTTCACTAATTCTCCTCAAATGAGTGGTCTTCACCAACTCTCTCCATGGCTCCCTCTTCCATGCCCTCAATAGGAGTAACTAAACCAGTGCACCAAGCTCCTAAGAAGCCACCTTCCTCCAGCCTCTCCTTATTAACAGCCGGTATTAGTTAGTTGCAGAACATGGAGCTGTAACAAAGAGACCCTCCAATGCAGTGGCTTAACACCATAGGCGATTTCTCTCACATAACAGTCGAACACAGTGGCCCGGGGCTGGTGGGCAGTGTCGCCGTCCACAGCACACACCCGCCACTCTCTAGGGCCATCATTTCCCAGCCAATAGGAAGGGTAAAGGGATAAGGGCAGATGGAAATGCATGCTCATTCCTTACAAACACAAAAACAAAAACTTATTTTATAATTTTCTGCAAGTCAAACTCAGACTTCCAGAAAAATTGTAAAAATATTAAAAGATTCCCCATATACCCTTCACTCACATTCTTCAAGGTTAACATTTTATCATATTTGCTTTATCATTCATTCTCTCTTAATAGCATTCCCTGAAAACATTTGAGAGCAAATTAAAGATATGATTTATCTCTTTACCCCTTTATGTCTAAAAAACTTCAGTATGGAGTATTTCCCAACAAGGGCATATTCTTCCATAACCCTAATACAATGATCAAAATCAGGAATTGACACTGACATAATACTATTGTCTAATTTACAGACTATATTCAAATTCCATTGATTGTTTCTCTAATGTCCTTTATAGCAAAAGAAAAATAACTAATTGGCTCAGGATTCAATCCAGGATAATTAATTGCATTTAGTTGTCCTGCATTTAAAATTTTCTTATATTGAAATAGTTCTTCAGTCTTTATCTTTTATGACCTTGATATTTTTGAGGAGAAAACATCAGTTGTCTTAAAGAATGTCCTCCGTTTGCATTTGTGGTGTTTCTTTATGCGTAGATCTAGGCTGTGCATTTTCGGCAGGCAGCCACAGAAGTGGCATGTCTTTGATCCATCACATTGGGAGACACTTGGTAGCGGTCTGTCCCAATGTTGGTGACGTTACCTTGGCTCACTTGGCTAGGGTGATATCTTCCAGGTTTCTCCACAGTAAATATTTGTCCGCTTTTATTTAACAAGTATATTATGGGATGATTTTTTAAACCATGTAAATATTCTGCTTCTTTTTAAATTTTCACCCACTAGTTTTAACACCCATTGTTGACTCTTGCCCAAAACAATTATTAGTATGGTGGCCGCCAGATGGTGATTTTCCTTATCTCATCTTTCTTTTTATGTTTATTACATAGAATTCTATTACAAAAAAGAATTTTTCTTCCCCCACCTTTATTTTATTAATTGCTTTATTTATCTATATTCTAAGTGACTCATATTCTCTTTTTTATTCTATGGGTTATATTCCTGTACTATAATAATTTTGTTGCTCAAATTGCCCCAGATTTGGCCAGGGGAGCACTTCGGGCTGGTTCCTGTGTGTTTTTAACAGGCTCCTACCGTTCTTTGAGTGTTTCCTCACTTTCTGGCACAGCAAGGTATTCCAGACTCATCTTGCACTTCTCCCGCCCAGTCCTAGAAGCAACCGTTTCTGCAAGAAGCTTTATTTCTTTTTATTGGAGAATGATGCATGTTTTGGATAATCCTAGAAAAGGCACACATCACTTCTTCTGCATCCCATTGGCTAGAATTTAGCCAATGTGCACATACAGCTGCCGGAGAGGCTGGCGCAATGGTTGCGTTCAACTAAACCTCAGGAGCTCTGTGAGTAAAGAAAGGAAGAAAGAATAGGGTTCGATGGGCAGCTTGAAGTCTGCCACAGAGCCCACCCAATCACCCCAGCAAAATGTTCTCCCTGAATTCTAAAATCTAATCTTATCACATCCCTGCCCCAAATCCTCCAGAAACTCTTTTTTTTTTTTTTTTTTTTTTTACGCAGGTTCGCTTTTTTTTACCCGGCCGGGGGGGAATTGGGGGGGTCTGGGCCCACGCACACCACCCCCCCCCGGGTCAAGAGAAGCTGCGGC